ATAGATAGAGACAGACAGACAGACAGACAGACAGACAGACAGACAGACAGACAGACAGATAGATAGAGACAGACAGACAGACATATAGATAGAGACAGACAGACAGACAGACAGACAGACAGACAGACAGACAGACAGACAGATAGACAGATAGATAGATAGATAGATAGATAGATAGATAGATAGATAGATAGATAGATAGATAGATAGATGGAGGGATGGAGGGAGGGATGTAAGGATAGATAGATAGATAGATAGATAGATAGATAGATAGATAGATAGATAGATAGATAGATAGATAGATAGATAGATAGATATTCTTCTCCAAAGGTAATTCTAAAACACAACCTATGCTATCACTGAAACATTATGGCCAGAGCGTTAAATAAACACAAATCTGTAAATAAACACGTTTATACAGCAGGCAGCGATCTACTGGGGTAAACTCGAGGCAGCAAAAACTGTTGTCAGTAAAACTCTTGTGTAGTCAGTTTTTACTACACGTGTCCATCTCTGATTCAAACCACTGTAATGCGCGAAGGCCTTACAAGACACACTGACCCATTTTAGCGACATTTGAGCCTCTTCACAATCGTAGGCAACTACTGGTATGTAGAGGGCGACATCGTGTGGTGAGTCTTAGAAGTTCAGAATGTCCCTAACCATTGTACAGACTGTAGCCAGGGCACCGGTATGGAATCCCACACCCTGGGGAGTCTTTGTTGCACTTCCAATCTGTGATTGTGGAAACCGTGTCTGTGGGCACTGAATATAGACTGAAGATGAAGGGAGACAACCTTTTCAGCTCCATTTCCATTGCAATTTGACATGCTGCCTGCAGCAAAGAATTTTGAATTAAGGGATAAAGAAGATTTTTCCTGAGCCTTTGATGTTGCACACTGCAGGTACAAAAGATAGATAGATAATCTGTGACAATCATGTTTGTAGACTATGAATCTGGTTCAGGGGCTATGAGTTGGCTAACAAACATTAATTTGACTTATTTTTTGTTGTTATTATTATTATTATTATCATTAAATATTTTAGATTGAAAATGACCCATATTGCCAGTTTAAGTTTGTAGATTATAAACTTGCCCTAGAAACCCTAATTTGTAGCTGAAATGGTACAAAAAAGTTATTATTTTTGTGTAATAATGCTAGTTATTTTATACAGGATAGCAGTTGCTACAGCAAGAAAAGGTTCATTTAATGTTATATCGCATAGAGAAATTCATTTAAACAGTGGCACTCTCTCATTATGTTCCTGGTGATTGCAGAACAGTAGGAGCAGATGATTGAGACTTCCCTTGGGACTCAAAACAGCTGAACACTGCACTTCCAATCTCTTCGCTAACATCTGTGAGGATGCAACACTTGCATACTGCCTGCCTGCCACGGTGACCCATATTTCCTCTGATATTAATCTCACTACTCTCATAGCACACACAGACTCCCCTGCGCTGGGCTTTTATGCAGGGGTGTGTTCGGTGAAATAGGATCACACTAGCTATTGTTTGTGTCTTTAACACTGATCACTCACAAACAGAATCACAGCGAGCCCCCTCTAGATACTGAACTGCTCCACATGCATCATTGCTCAGTTCATTATTATCCTGTCTACTCTCTTAAAAATAAAGGTGTTTCACGATGCCATAGAAGAACCTTTTTGTCTAAATGGTTCCATAAAGAACCTTTAACATCTGAAGAACCTTTCTGTTTGACAATAGGTTCTTTGTGGCGAAAGAAGGTTCTTCAGATTACAAAAAGGTAAGAAAGAGATGGTTCTTTAAAGAACCTTTGACTGAATGGTTCTTTGTGGAACCAAAAATGGTTCTTCTATGGCATCGCTTGAAGAACCTTTTGAAGCACCTTTATTTTTAAGAGTGTAGGTGGGTAAATAGCCTGGGAGTTGGATTCTCTCTCTAAAAATGATTATTCATTAAATTCTAAATGGCCATTGGCTGGGCTAACTTGATTTGATTTGTGTTTGGATTCTTTGTTGCTGTTGAACTGGACTAATATTTGTGTGTGTGTGTGTGTGTTTTACTTATTGCCTTCTCTTCATAATCCTTGTTCTAAATCTGCCTCAATTCAACTACAGTTGCTATCAAAATATTTTAACCCCTCAGAGACTGCAGTACTTTACAAATACATGCTTTTCTGAAGATGCAGGATTTTATAAAAATCGCATCTATAACAGTTTACTGGTATATTAAAAGTGATCGTGTCAATATATAATGTCATATTTTTGAGCAATAGGACTAATAACTGACTAATATTTGTGTGTGTGTTTTACTTACTGCCTTTTCTTCATAATCCTCATTCTAAATCTGCCTCAATGCAACTACAGTTGCAATCAAAACAACATTGCTGTTTTTAAGTCACTTATTTGTACGGTGAGGAACAAAATTGTCTTAAAACACAATTAAGCCTTTAGAAACTCTATAACAAAACTGAATTAGCTTGAGCTGTTACACATACATTAACTTAGCCAATATGCTGAAGTTGAGTATGGCAAATTCAACAGAGCTCTCACAAAAGCTATAGAAAAGAAATTGTTTTATTACATTAGAAAGTCTAAGGCTACATGAAGATTTCCAAGACATTAAAGGTTCCTAGAGACACAACTGGCAGACTTATTCCTTAGCTTAAAATGTGTTGTACCAGAAAACCCTCAAGGGTGTTGAAAAAAAAGCACAATATCATAAAATGTTTGATCAGAGCAACTGAGAAAAACCTGCATTGTAGAGCTAAAAACTTGCAAGATGACCTAGGGCTGGGCGGTATATCGAGTTTGTATGATATATCGATGTATTCTTTATAAACGACGGTACGCGATATTGGTTATAGTAGTTTGATACGAGCGCATCTGAATAATAGCGGAGGACACACAGTGAGCTGCTGCGTGGGAAAAGTGCATTATACAATTTGTCCTAAACATGAGACATGCTTTATATTAAGGGCTTTAAAATAACTCATAAGATATAGGCCCCATTGTTCCTCTAGTCTAGTGGAGTTCCACAAGGATCCATTCTTGGCCCAGTCTTGTTTTCATTATATATGTTACCATTAGGTTCTATATTTC